CAGATGCATGATACCAGCTCCGTAATCAAAATCGTAACCCAGAACTAAAACCCGACCACATTTCCTATCATTTGGGCTCTGTGATACTGCACTGTTATTTTTCAGCTTACTGCTTCAACGACGGCCATTCCATCATCCAGCATAGAAAGTTGCAACAACTTTTGGCAAATCTTGGCAAACTAATCGCGCAGCCTGCCCCGCAGCTTGAGTTCCGTTTCTCGGATGGCGTACTTCCGGTCGAGCTCCCGGTATTACCATAGAGGTAACACTAAGACTAGTAGGTCGCGAAAAAACGTGCTCACCTTTTTGGATCTGCTCTGGGACTATCTTCGGTCCCAAGCTAATCGATGCACCCCTCGAAACATAGGGAAATCCACGAACCCCTTGTTTGTATCTGTCAAACTTTCATAGCGAATCAAAACAAACATTGTGTACTACTAGGATTAATTTTGACTAGAATGACTAGAATCGATTTGCTTGGGACCAATAGGCTAGTCAAGTAGTGAGCCAATATAAAATCGTTAGTTTCCACCGGTTGGTATTACCTTATCGGCAAGAAAAACAAAACATTCGATCTGTCAGAATACCGAGTTGCCAATGTTATTATTCTCAAACAAAGTCAGGCCGATGACTGGCGCTGACGGCGCTGCCGGCACAGTGTGGCAGACTTGAGGCACACTGAAAAAAAACTGACCACCCCTTGGCAGGAACTGATAGTAGAATCATTTTTGCATCATTAGAACTATTGAATCAATTTGACGATAATGAAATATGCATCAACTTTCAAAGCAGATAAAATGAGGGGGGAGGGGTAAAAAAGCCAGAAGTAGGCACGAGGTGGTATCCACTAGTTGCCTAGTGTAGCTCCACTAAAGCCCATTTCTTACTCTCTCTCCTCTGCCTGGATCCCTCCGGGACCACGCTGAAGCGCTACTTCGAGGGGGCTGGCACTTCTCATACTCTCGCTGCAAGGATAGATCGCTGCTCCTCTCTCCATTCCAAGTGACACATTTCATCGACGACATTCTCCACGTTAAGGACAGGCATCTCCCTTCGCACTATTTCGCACCTTGGACAGTCGAAGACCACATGCTCCGGCGTTTCATCCACCACATTGCCACACTCCGGACTGAGGGGTGACGCTGCGTGTCCGAACCGATGCAGGTATTTCCTGAGGCAGCCGTGGCCAGACAGGAACTGCGCCGGGTGGTTGAAAGAATCGGTAATAACCGATGTGTCCATCTAACGTCATCCACCATGTTCCACTCCTATTGCCACTTTGCCAAAGACTCCGCTTTCACCAGTTTCCGTACTCTACCGACTCCTCTCCGACTGTAGCACTCGCTGTCCTCCACCGGGTGATGCCGACAGGGATCATTCCGGCGATTGCGCATACTGCTTTCGATGAAATGCTTCTGTACGCACTCTCGACTCGCATGGCCATCAGCCGGAACGTACTGGTAAGTTTCCTTTGGTTCTGCTAGACCACCATACCTCAGTATCTAGCCAAAATACGCCTCTTGATATTGCTGGGAATATAGTTTTTCAGCATGATTCTAGCTATTGTGTTGATGGCCTTCCAACGATCTTGAAGTTGAAGTTTAGCCGGTCATCGATCATCACTCCCAGGTATTTCAACACGCGCTTCGAGGCAAAGGCGTGCGTTGGACCAAAGATGGAGCCTTGTGGATCTCTAGTTGTGATCCTAATCGATCTCTGTCCCATATATGTCTCGTAGACCAGAACCAGGCTCTGGAACTAACTCCTCAGAATCCTGTAGTAGGTAGTCTGGGACCCTCATTCTATGCAGCGTTTTGGCAATGGCTTTCCAGCTACGCTGTTGAACGCATTCTTGACGTCGATCGTTATCACGGTGCAATATCGATCTCCTCTTCGCTTCGACCATTGTCCGAATAGCATCAACCGTTGATCTCCCCACAACTTTGATTTGCTTTAAATTGATTACGAAGATGATGTTCTACCAACATGCTCCATCATCTGCTCAGCATGAAACAATGGCGTGCTTGGCGTGAAGAATGGGGCAACACATCCAGACTACTTTGTCCCAAGTGCAAGATGCAGTGTTGCCATGAGAGCAGTCAATTAATCAAGTAAGAAAGTTGTCGACTTCGTAATCCATTTATAACTAATTAACATGAAGTTTAATCAAAAAGTCGTAGCAAGACCATGCTGAAGGTGGCTGGGTTCTATTCCCGGTCCTGGGCATAGAGTATGATTGTACTTGCCACACGATCATACTAATGCAAAAATAGTGCAGGCATCGAAAGTTCTCAATTAATAATTAATAAATGTTAATGATTTAGAATCGTTATTATCGTTATCGAGTGGAGCAAAATCTACCATTCTTGTATCATTCACATTTCGCTTACTTTCTTAAACCTAATCTCTTAGCCTCAGTGCTTTCCGAATCATTTTGTGTGGTTTTATTTTGGCTTCACAGCTTGTGGGGAATTTTTTCCACCTGAGTTGCAATCATCTGCCGGCCTGATTTCCCATCCCGAAGTTGACGGAGGATGATAACATCGAAAAAAAAATTCCCCCGAAAGGGTTCTCTGAAAATAGACAGAACGCTTAATGAGCCATGCCATTACCAGAAAACATCAGCTGGCGGTGAAATTAAAGACCGAGAGACTTTTGAACTTTCTCACCCACCATTCCACGTCGCTAATAAATGGTGTCGAGTTCTGAGGGATCGACGTTGAATAAAGGGGGATGAAACGGCGTTTGAAGATAAAGGGTAGGCTAGGTTAGCTACTGCCAAATTAACTTTTCTGCGAAGACTTTGTTTCGGGGACGGTTTATTATAATCAGATTAGATTCACTGCTCCCTTGCTTACTTTTACCGATGCATGTGATTCAGTCAAATTTTCCGCTACGGTGGGGCTATCTTATTCTTCGCATTTCAAGCTTATCGCTTATTAGCTTATTGCGTGTTCTCAACTGAGTGTTCTAGATGTACTTCCCCAGTTATTAATTGAGAGCAATCGATGCCTGTACCATTTTTGCGTTAGTATAATTGTGTGGCAAGTACAATCATACTCTATGCCCAGGACCGCAAATCGGACCCAGCCACCTCTAGCATAGTCTTGCTTTGTAGCTCCGCCATTACCGATTGAGCTAAGAGAGGCCCCATTCAGGCTTTCTTCAGCACGCTAGAAGAAAGCAAAATTAGTAAGAGGTTGTATCCAAGACACGACCGTAGATTTGACGTAGGATTACGAAAGGTAGTTTTGATGTCACAGCAGAAATAGTAAATATTAAATCGATTTCTTAACTCGTTATCAGTGAAGAAGTTCGATAGGTTGAAATTCGGAAGCAATTTGAGAGTTCTGTTTTTGAGGTGCTCTGTCGGTGTCCTGGACGATATGTCTTGGATGCAAGCTCTTACTTGAACTCTTTAGTCAACTCTTTTATCAGTCTATTGTGCTCCTGAAATGACCGATGGGTTGGAAGCTTGGAAGTCAGTTTGGAACACTGCTGTGGATTTTTTTCCTCGATGTTCTTGGAGATTATAGCGGTGCGGAAATGAAACATGTACTAGGGAAAACACATCAATCACATAAAATGAGCATACCGAACGGTACCTACGTTTGCATCAAGAGGCATAAATCAAGAGGTACCGTCTGGCATGCTCAGTGGTCGGTATCAATATTCGGTGACTGTGTTAGGGAAACCACTTTTCCCATCACGGAAACGCCTCGTCCTAGAGAAAGCCTTACCTTAGTTTGAAGTGTTTCTGGCTAATTGAAATTGTCATGTGGTATTCGGTCATTGCGAGAATTTGTATGTACCACTTCAATACTTGACGCATTTGACTACAAACGTTTTGTTGCTGGGTACATTATCTTCCTCCTTCTTTGGCGAATGGCCCGCTCAGTGGGCTGTAGCTCGCGCTTGCGGGCAGCCTTTCGTCGTGTACAACGCCATGCGCCGAGAGCTTTGGTGAGATCGGAGTGAATTCGATTTTTAAATCTGTGTTAGGGAAAGCGCTTTTCGCATTCGATCGGTGATAATTTTCATTATTATAGCAACAGTTGCACATCCGTGCAATTTTCAATAGTGTCCTTTTGAAAATTGATAAAGTGTTCATTTCTAGATAGAGCTGGAATTTGGGCGTAACAGCTTTTGTAAACAATGACTTCTCTCGATGATTTCTAAAAAGCCTAGACTCGCTTACTCAAATCAACGTCACTATCGGGTAGTGGAAGTCTTCCCCTCCCCGTTGGTTGTATTGGTTTGCGTGGGCGTACCTTGAATTTCGAGAAATCATCGAGAGAAGTCATTGTTTACAAAAGCTGTTACGCCCTAATTCCAGCTCTATCAAGATTTTATCAAATTCGTAGATGACATTCCTATCGATTCAGTGCTGTTGTTGTGGGTAGTCGTGGGTAACCGACGACTACTTAGCTCTAAACCGAAAAAAAAGTTGTCTATTGTAGTCAACGACAGCATGCAGTCTTCGTAGTCTTGTATCTTTCCCAAGTCAATACAAATTCGTTGTGAACCGATTCGGACGCCTGCTCGTTGTGCCAACCCAAACCTTGTGCAGTTGCGTTACAAAACTCTTTCACGTGAAACTTGCTTATATGGTATTTGCACGATTTTGGTAGATGCAACATTTCCCAGTATTCGACAAACTTATTAATATCTTCTTCAAATCCGGGTACAAGTTCGAATGAGAAGCATTTCTTGTACGCATTTTGAAACTGTTTCAGGACCTATAAAAAGTAACAGCCATTAGTTTTATACCTGCTGATCGAAAAACAACTGTTCATGATCCCAAGTGTCACGTAAAGTGGAGGCGGAGGGCGTACCAGCAAAACAGGAGTGCTGTTTTGGGCGAAAACCAGCGGTGGTTTAATGCAGCTAGCATATTTTTTACGACTTTTGGAACATGGGTCATTATTGGAATTTTCCCGAATGTTTCCAATCGTTCGGGGCACTCCACTTTGCAATGCAAGGTTTGATTTTTCTGTTACACAATATGGACAGGGGTGAGTAGATGAATGCGCCATTATTCCAATAATCACGTTAATCGTCTTTAAATCACCGGCAATAATCGATTCCAAGGGATTCAGCTTCAAAAGACCATTCCAGGTTAGAAAAATATATTCATATTTTTCGGCAAGATTTGGAGCCAATGCCAAAAAATGGAGGCGTTTCACGCCGCTGTCTTTAAAATCATCTGTGGAATTATTTTGGGTTTTGGATACAACAGAGAGAGTGATCTTAAAAAATCCTCCTCCGCCGTCGATACCAAGCTTTATAAAAAGTTCTTCCTCACTCGTGTGTCTACTTTTCTTGATGCGTTGAAGCAACTCAGATATATTATTACAAAATATAACTGGAACATCAGCGCATTGACCAAGATGGACGTTTTCAGCTAGAAAAGAGCATTTTAATTTAGATTTCTTTAAACCATGTACCTTTTTGAGTTTTACCTTTGGCTACCCAACAAACAATTTTGGCTGCAGATTAGCTTATACAGCCAAAATTTGCCTTATGCAGCTAATTTTTGCCTGTATAAGCTAAGCTGCAGCTAAAATTGTTTGTTGGGTACTTCTCCTAGCTCTACAATACTAAACAAATCTCCAAGCTGTGAGTTCAGTTTGGAAAGCTTCCCTTTTAAGCCAGTTTCAAAGCTCACTCCACCTCGTTTTAAACTTTTCATGATGCCTGTAAATCAACTAACCAATAAGCAAATCGAAAGCTTCGGCAAATCCTAAATAAAATATTACGAAGAGTCTTCCGCATGCTCAAGTTATTCTCCGTCTTCACTTTGAACATATCTTCTGTCCGCATGCGTTTCCGTTCTTTCAAAGATACAGTAGAATTAGCTTTTAGAAATACGGATGGTTTTCCTCGACGATTTGATAAGCGAATGTTTTCAGAACCTGTATGAATCAAATAAAACGTTAAAGCTACATTCTGAAATACATCAGTTGCTGTTTTACCAGAAGTTGAGACTTTTTCGGCTAGAAACTTTGATAAATTTGCTAAATTTTCTGAACGCTCAGTGACAGTACAAACGTGATTCTTCCCTCGTCCGATTTCCGTTAGACAAGTATTACACATGCGTATGACCTCGCGTATGACTTTAGTAGTGTTTAAATTGCTCGGTTTTGAATTACGTTGGTTTTCCTTTCTAGGAACTGTTCCCGGTAGATTTTTACCGTACTTTAGCTGGGCAGCCCCACAAACTTCACAAGTGCACTTTGAATTTGTTCTCGTACTCTTAGAATAGTTAAACTTGTATTTATGTACGACCACTTTTCTGCTATTTCCATTTACAGAACTGCAATAAATCCGACACTTGGCACATATTGAGGACGGATAATACCACTCACGAACATTAATATCGCTTAAGTAATGATCCCTAATCACTTGTCGTATTGCACTGGAGATCGGTCCAACGTTTTTTTTTTTTATTTGAAAGGCATAAAATGCACACTTTTTTTTGTTGATTGTGATGATCCATGATAAAATTTCAAGCAAAACAAAACGCGCTGCAACTCACAAAAGGCACGTTTGTCAATAACGTTTGTCAATGCCTACTTGTGTTCTCTAAAAAAAACAGCTAGTGTTGCGATTTGTGCATGTAAAATATGTGATGGCATTTCACTGTTTTTAGTGAGATTTATGCAGTTACGCCTTTAAAAGGGCGAAACTCGAAAATGCACCCTACGATTTTTTTTTAAATTTGTTTAAGAGATGCAGAATGATCTAACGAATCGATTGGTATACTCACTTTTGATGGAACTAAAAGGAGCACCGTGCCCCTAGTATGCATGTTTAAAATTATTAAAATCGTTCAATTTGAAGTGTCCCTGGTAGAAAATGAAGAAAACGATGTTAAATGCTAGTGCCCTGGGAGACATGTTCAGGGAAAAAAATTAAACTTGAAATAAAGTGCGCCACTGGTAAACCTTTTCAGGTTAAACTTGAAGTGGTTTGCGCCCCTGATGTACACGTTCAGGGAAAAATTTAAGTGTGTTGTAAATGGCTTTTCAGTTTCGACAAAATGAATATCCTGTTATTTTATTTTTTATCCAAAATTCCCCTGATCGGGGAAAAAAATGTAACCTCTAACGGTGTGAATCCTTATTGGTGGACAAAAGTTGTCACTACTTAGTGGCGTAAGATAGAAATTTTGACACGATGATGCTTTCAAAATTCCTTTACGGTGAGGTATTGAAGAGAAGTTTCGGAAGTTCGGAAAGTACTGAATCACTTGAAACACTTCAGAAAAGTTTAGAATCACTCCGGAAAGTACTGAATCATTTCAGAATGATTGTAATCACTTCCTCAAGTACTGAATCACTTTGGAAAGAGAGCTGAATCAATCTAGGAAAGTTTTAAATCACTTCAGAAAGTACTGAATCACTTCAGACAAGCTCGGAATCTCTTCGGATAATGTTGAATCACTTTAGAAAATTTCGGCTTCACATTGGAAGGTATTGAATCATCCCAGAAAGTTTGTAATCATTTTCGCAAGGACGGAATCATTTCTAAAATAATTGAATCATGTTAAATGTTCGCAATCACTTCGGAAGTACTGAATCGCTTCGGAAAGTTCATAATCACTTCGGAAAGTGCTGAATCATTTCAGATAGTACCGAATCACTGCAGAAAAGTTCAGAATCACTTAAAAGGACCAAATAATTTCATAAATGTTTGGAATCACTCCGAAGAGATAGTTTGAATCACTTTTGAACAGTTTGAAATAACTTCCGAACTTCAGAAAAAATCGGAAATTCTTCCGATGATAATGAATGACTTAAGAAAAGTCTTGATTCTCTTTGGAAAATACTTAATCATTCCAGAAAGTTTGTAATTGCTTCCTTCCATAAAAACTGAATAATTTTGGAATGGACTGAATCACTTCACTAAACTTCGAGAAAGTACTGTATCCATTCTTTAAAGTTTGCAATCACTTCCTCAAGAACTGAATCATTTTGTAATAACTGAATCACCCTAAGCGACTTCTGTGGGCTCTCGAGAAAGGGCGAGCTGCCTCGACAGCACCCGACATGATAGGGTACCCAATGCTTCGACGTCTACCTTTGTCCGTGAAGATGACACTGCTAGAGCTGCTCAACCGGATCTGGCGTAATGGAGAATTTCCTACCAGCTGGCGAAATGCAATCGTGGTGCCCAGGCTTGATGGAGCCTCGCTCGCGAGTTTGAAATGAGCCGAGCGTAGCATTTATCTGAGGAGTAGAATGCCTACTGCCAAATCATTCCACTGAGCTTCAGAGCTTGTGAGCGAAGGGGGATAAAATGAGAGTGAGGTTTGCTGCCATTCCTTGTTCATGTTTTCTATCACACGCTCTTACTCTCACTCTGGGTGAACTCTGAGCTTTTTGCGTCGAACAAAAAAGTCATCCGGAGTATCGAAAAGCGCACCTCACGTCAAATCATCCTCTCGCTGTAGTTCACTCTCCCTCTCTCTCGAGGAGTTTTTGTTTACTTCTTCCATATTCCTACCGCCACTCACTCGTGGTGAGGGCTGAATAAACTCGCAGGACAAGAGTTTTTTAGAACCTCCAGTGAGTTTGAGGAGTTTTAGCAAGCCTGGTGGTGCCCATTCCGAAGCCAAACTGCCTCGATACCGGACCCGCTGCGTTCCGTCCAATCTCGCTCACCAGCTGCATGGCGAAGCTGCTTGAACACATCATAAATCGACGACTGATCACCGAGCTAGAGTCGAGCGGGCGACTCGACAAACGACAGCACGCTTTCCGTGCCGGGCGAGGCACCGACACGTACTTTTCCGAGTTCGAGAGAACGCTTCCAAGCACAGACGAGCACTGTCTGATAGCATCCCTGGACCTGTCGAAGGCTTACGACACCACCTGGCGGCGCGGCATAATCCGCACTCTGAGGTCATGGGGAATACGTGGTCGGATGCTGAACATGATGAAAAGCTTCCTCTCGGAGCGAACGATCCAGGTATCCGTTGGGGGGCATATGTCTCGCCAGTATCCGTTGGAAAACGGAGTTCCGCAGGGCTCTGTCCTGTCAGTGACGCTGTTCCTCATCGCGATGCAGCCCATCTTCCGAGTAGTGCCCAACGGAGTCTTCATTCTTTTGTACGCGGACGATATCCTCTTAGCAGTGCGAGGTGCTAAAACTGAAGGCTTACACCGAAAACTACAGGCCGCCGTCAAAGCCATCAACAAATGGACGAAAAGCGTTGGTTTCACTGTGTCGGCAACAAAGTCACATGTCTTCTACTGCAGTCCGAACGCACGACGGGATCCCGTGCGTGATATCTCTATCGAGGGAACTCCCGTGCCAAAGACCAACCGGCTGAGGATTTTAGGTGTAACCATGGACCGAACGTTATCCTTCAAACCTCACTGCAATATGGTTAAGAAAGCATGCGAATCGGGGTTACGGATTTTACAGATGATCGGTGCAAAACTTCCACGTGGCAATCGGACTTCTCTGCTGCAAATTGGGTCAGCCGTAGTTACTGCGAAGCTGCTCTACGGGATTGGACTTGTTAGTCGAGGAGGGCCAGCAACCTTCCAGACTATCGCTCCTGCCTACAACAAAATGGTTCGCTTCGCTTCCGGAGCATTCGTGACGAGCCCGATTAACTCGGTGATGGCCGAAGCTGGGACTCTACCCTTCGAACTGCTAGCAGTACAGACCACAGTACACATTGCCATCCGAATGCTCACAAAGAATCCAAACAGCAGCACCCTACCTCTGATTACACGCGCTTCAAATCGCCTCCAAGAATTAACCGGTTCAACGCTTCCTGCTGTCGGTTCACTCGTGAGGCAGAGCAATCGCTTGTGGCACGCACGAAAACCGACGATAGTGTGGGATGTGAAAAGAAGCATACGCGCTGGAGACCCACCGGAAAAAGTTCGTCCAGTTGTTCGACAATTACTGGAGACCCGCTTCCATAGTTCAACCATCGTCTACACGGACGGCTCCAAGTGTGAAGACACGGTAGGAGCTGCATTCTTCTACGAAGGGCTATCTAGGACCTACAGTCTTCCGAACGAATGTAGTGTTTTCTCTGCGGAGGCCTACGCTATTAAAATGAACGCCACCATCCCTAATGTTCAAAATGAGTTGGTTATTCTCACGGACTCCGCAAGCTGGACACGCCGGCATCAGGGGAAACTCTGAAGCTGACCGACTAGCCAATGAGGCTAGAAGACAACCAGCCATCGACGTACCGATTCTAAGCGAGGATGCGAGGAGGCTCTGTCATACGACACTGTCGCCGAAGACCGTCACGAATGTATGTATTTTAGTTTTTCTCAAAATAAGAGCTGCTGATGGTGTGCTTGTGTGAATTCTGAAAATAGCAAGCAATGATGTCCTAGTAATACTATTTCTGATCAGAAATGGTTTGATGTACACCAAATTGAGGAATTACAACGAAATCACACATGTCATATGATAGCTATTTTGATAATTTTCTTTTAGCTCGAATGTTTTTCTACCGCTCGTGTTGTGTGAGAGAGACGACGGTAGAGCATGAGTGTTCGAATACAAACAGACTGTCGCGCACGACAACGAAGCGAGTGTAGTAAAAACGTCAACTGTTTCAACCCCTGCTCTGGACAACACGGAAGAAAGAACAACACGAATGCTTAATTTCCTACATGAAACGGATTTGTACAAAAAACTCTAGAATAACAAATTACAATAACTTTAGAATAACAAATTGCACAGGTGAAAGAAATATTAAGCAACACGAACTAGAAGACTAGAATAACAAATTAAAAGAACTGTAGAATAACAAATTACACAGGTAAAGATGGTAGAAAGATGAAGAAATTCGTGAAGAAAAGCGAAGTAGGAGAGCCCAACGAACAATTTTGACTGCAGAATATCTTATACAGCCAAAAATTGGCTTATACAGCTAATTTTTGCCTTTATAAGCTAGTCTGCAGCTTAAATTGTTTGTTGGGAGTAGTATGAAGTGAAGCGAAGGAGAAAAGTAATTGTTTGGAAGCAAAGAAGAAAAGAAGAGAGAAGCAACTGAATAGTAGCACTTACACTAACAAAAACACTTGCACACCATACACAATACACCAAACATCAAATCGAACGGACATGAATGCATCGCGGAGATGTAAAATGTCCTTAATAAACAAGCAAACTTTAGAAAATATTGGAATCCCTTCAGAAAATATTGAATCACTTCTGAAAATGTTTAATCACTTTGGGGAGCACACAATCATTTCAAAAAAGTTCGAAATCTCTTCTGATTCTTATCACTAAACCATATTCGTACTGAATTGTGACACATCGAAAAAGGTCTCGATTTTGGCAACATAGTCAACTCAATGCCCCCTAACTCGATATCGAGTTATAGAAACGTAGTTAAAATTAATATCATAGCCAGGCATGAAAAATCATTTGCATTCATTTCGTGCATTCATTTACATTCATTTGCCCCTAACTTTTTTCATCAACAGAATTCCGCAAAATAAAGTATGGAGTTTTTGTAGGTTTTATTATTAGCTACAACTTTTCTAAAAAACTTAAATCCGTATCTCTTATGCATGACGAACCAGAGCAAACAGAATCCACTACTGTTTTTCAGTGAATGTAATTTACATTCACTGAAAAACGGTAACGAGTTCTGCCTGCTCTATATCGTGATACATAAGAGATACAGATTTGCAATGTGAGCAAAAGTTGCAGCTTATAACAAAACCTACTAAAGCTCTACATATCATTTTGCGGAATGGTGTTGATGAAAAAAGTTAGAGGCAAATAAATGTAAATGAATGCATGAAATGAATGTCAATGATTTTCCATGCCTGATCATAGCATACTGCGATAGCGAATTTGCATGGGATCGTTATTCTATAACTCTATGGTCCCTTCAATATCGAGTTATAGAGAGTTCAGAATCACTTCAGAAAATACTGAATAACTTGAGAAAGATTAGGACCACTTTGGAAAGTACTGGACCATATCTAAAAAGGTTAGCACTGAACTTCTATAAAAAAAAATTAAATCACTTCGGAAAAAATTGGAAAAACTGGATCCTTGAATTCAGCTCATGAAATATATAATAATTTTGAAAAAGCTTCAGTTCAGTTGGGAAAATGTTCAATCGCTCACTTCCGAAAGTGTTAAATTTTCTGGACTGATTTAACACTTTCGGAAGTAATACCACGAGCTCTTGGGAACGTCTGAAACAAAAACCTGTTATAAACGTAACATCTGCAGGGTGTTCAGTTCCTTAGTTCAAATAATTTAAGGGCGATAGAAGATCATATTTGAAGTAAAAAAAATGTTCTACGCATATGATCAAATCTCAAAGATTACTGAGTTATTGAACTTTTTCGGTTTTGGTCTATGCTTGCCATAAATTGGCTCTAACTATGCCATTTAGCACAACACTCTTGCCTCCATTGGACAGCTTGGTAAATTTCCTACTTAATAATGTTATTTCTACGTTAACTAAGCTGCATATAAGATACATAAGAAAGTGAAAATTAGGGTGCATGGAAAAAGTTGACGGGACTTTTGGAAATTAATCATAATTTGAAGAAGTAAGGCTAAAGGGACTTTGTAAATGTTCAAGGAACATTAGAGAAATTTTCCGCCCCTCGGGATTTCGTTGTGTGGCAAATGCCACCTTCGTCACCTGTAGAGTACGGTGCAGCTCATCATGCAGCATCGATAAAGTGCAAATGTTTTGCAACGTACCATATAAACTACACTATACACTATTTTTACACTATCGTTATTTTAAGCAGATTTATATTTTAAGAGCGCAGGTCAATATTGGATGCGACTACTTAGCTCAAATTTTAGGAACACAGCACTGAATCGATTAGCTTGTTTAGAATTAATATCCATTCGCTATTAACAGTGTTATACTACTGACCACTTTTCGTAACGCGGTCGATTTCGTTTTTTTTAATTGCAACCCCAATATGTTGCCGAAAGACGTAATGCACAATTCTGTATTTATTTTCAGTAAAATTTTGTAAGTGAAAGCGAACGTCTCACGATCGGAACAGTTTAGCGACTATTATCTCCAATTGATTCTCGGTACATATGTTATCTACCGATTAATCAAAAAATAAAGACTAAATATTTCTTTATTTTAAAGATTTCGTGCGTGTACGCACGTCCATCATTTTGCATAAGAAAATGGGGCGTTTCTGTGGTGGGAAAAAAGTGATTTCCCTATCACAGATTTCAGTACTTAGCACTGAAAAAACCAGACTCGGTGCAAAAAATACATTCTAAGACCCTCTCCTAACAGAATTTCCCGCCGTTATTATAAAAGGAGTGGAGTATGTTTTGCTCAATCGGTAGATGTACCAAGAGTTGATTGAAGAATTACAAAACTTCACTAAAATAGGTGCAGAATTGTGCACCCCATTCATTGTCTTTCCTAGCGTCCTGAAGAAAGCCCTGCCCTAATATTTTCTTCTAAAGACAATTATCGCCAGGGGCCTGGCTGGCGGCCATGTTTTTGAAGCTTTCATCTGCTCTTGTCTTTCTGCTTAAAACACTATTTTGCGTCTCTTTCCTTCATGTATACGTCAGGCGGGCCGTATTTAAATAAGGCCCGTGATTTTGCCTACTGTCAAACGTATAGGATTGATATGGGGTTGTCAGTCCCCTGATTATCGTTGGTGACATTGTAGAAAGA